TATGGAGGAGCAATGTGATAGAATGGCACAGTCCTTATGGTAGCTCTGAAGACCATGTATGAAAAACACGCATGTGAGTGCAGCAGCTCTGGAAAAGATGACCAGTAAACAGCTCGTCCTTCGGCTCACCTACCAGCTTTCAGGCCCTTTAGATCCAGACACGCAAGATGTATTTTCCTCTTGGCATTTTGCCAATTTTTTTCCAATTTCTTCTTTAATAACATAACATATTTTCACCTAAGATAAAATGTAATTTCCCTGTACATAACTTAAAAATAACAATAATAAACTCTTACTGCATGTATACTACGTGTCTGGTACTGTTCTAATTATTTTACATGCATAAACCCCTTGATCCTCACCCCATGAGGTAGGTACTATCTACAAATGAGAAAACTGAGGCCCAAGAGTTAAGGAACTTGCCGACCATCAGTCAGCTAGAAGTGGGAGACCAAGGCATCAACCCTGGCACCTGGGCTCAAGTGTACAGGCTCTTAACCACTTTGCAAAAGTGGAAAAAGACATTTCAACATTATTCAGGATGGCAAAATGGATTCTCCTGGTTAGTAACATATTCCAGTTAACTAGGAACAGCTCAACTATGCCCAGTCCTGCAGTAACTACTTTCAGAGAAATTCAGCACGATACCACAGCACCCATGCCTTCTACAGGCACTGAACACCAGGGGAGCTCGCAGACGCGGACAGTAGGGATCGGTGCGGGTGGTCACTGATTCACAGCTCACCAGGCACCTCTGAGATCATCTGGCATGTGATCCCTTCAATCGAGGAAAGGAAGTGGGTAGTTAGCCAAGCTCCCACTGCTAGCCGGCCTGTGTAAAACCGGGGTTCGCTCTATTACGCAACATGTGATAACAAGAATGACTACGATTCATTAAGTGCCTGAGTATGTTAAGGGCTATGACCCCTTTACATGAATTATCTCATTTAATTGTACACAACAGTCCTTCGAGGCATGCGTTATTATTAATGTCATACAGAAATTAGGAAACAGGTTGGGATATGTAAAGTCGTGTGGCTGGCCTCTCTCAGCGGGAGGCCCTGAGCGGGGTGCCGGGAGCGCATCACCCAGCCCTGCATGTTCTGGAGCATGTTCCGGAGCATGGCAGCCCCCCAAAGCGGTGGAGTGAGGGCAGACAACGGATGGGGGTGGTGGTGGGGTGGGGAAGGAGGCTGGCTCCAGCTGCAGCCAGAAAAGCCATCAATGGTAATGATCTGGCACAAAACTAGCCAGCTTGGGACAAGCTTGTAGAGGCAAGTCTAAACACCGCTGCTGAGTGGAATCCAGACAATTATAAATCTGCCCCTGTGGCAGAGGAACCAGAGAGCGTGCTGAGTTTATGCAAATCCGTGACTCCCCACCCCGGCCAGGCACCTCCTCCTTCTCGGGGCTGCAAAGCCCACAGGCACCCCGGCCTGGGAAGGACACTTTTTATAGTCAGCGCTTCCACTGAGGGTGTTCGTTTCACTTGCTCACACCCAGCTGTGTACAAACATGCAAATCATTAATATTCCCACTTGCCACGGCAGTGTGGCCTCGCACTGGGGGGCTTCTGAGGGAGATAATTCAATGTGCTGCTACAGCCACAGCATTTAATTCCCCAGGAAAGGTCTGCTCATGCTGCATTCCCCAAAGCCAGAATAACCACTGTCAGCCACCCTTCAGGTTATTCCTGGGGGGGGAGGACCAGAAGAAACAGGGAAGTCTTCTGAGAGCAGGGGATAGCAGGTATATTTTAGAGAAGTTCAGTGCAGCTCTAGGCCAAAGGTTTCCCCGGGTGTCTGGGTCAAGAATCAACAACCAAACGCTGACTAAATGATTTAAGTACCTTTAGTGAAGCGATTTTTTTGCAGTGTGAACAATTGTTGATAAATTTAGTTCATGAATTCAGAACTGCTGTGGGATACAGGAGGTTGTACCTGTTTTCATCCCCCGATGACTCTACTTTGGGCAGAGAACTGCCAAGCGGAAGGCCAGCACCAGTAGCATCCACCACGCACCAGGAACCAGGCAGCGCCCTTCATACCCCAGGTACACCTGTGGCAGAACCGGGAGCCAGGCAGCACTCAGCTTGGTCACCGAGAGCCATACGCTGGGTGAGTGTGGAGGGCAGAGCCACGACCCCGACAGACAGCCCTCAGGTTTTTAATCAGGTCATGCAGTAACCAGAATTCACTTGTTCAAGGTCAGACAGCCAGACAGGGCAGAGCTCTGGGTGATTGGACCACGTAGGATCATAGAAGCTACTGCCTTATCCCATCTCCCATCCTATATTTTTGGGCAGAGACCTGCTAGAACTCACCATGATAATACAAATGATTCCAATTTATCAATGACGCCAAGCATTTGTTAGTGTAAAAACCAAAAAAAGGCTGTATTGTCTCTTTCTTAAGTCTTGGGTTTTGTGAGCTGTAACAAAAACTAGGATTGTAAGAGTCAGAGTATAACGTTGGTCCCTTCAAAGGGTCTACGTCTCACACTGTTTAAAATCATTAGAGAGACATTACTGCGTGTAAAATGCTCTTTTAGGGTGACAGCAAGCAGAGACAGTGAGATTCACATTTTTCAAACTAGTATTCTGTCACCTCAGTTTTTTAACCTCCCAGATCTACAACATGGGAGCAGAAACATAAATGATCTAAAAGGGAGATAATGATTTCCTTTAAATGTCCCTTCAGAATTTATTCTGGATCTGACCTTCCTAATCACGACTGTCTGGCTCAGGTTAAAGTCTGCCACGGCAGGTCAACAGACAGGCTGGACAGCAGTCAGAGGCAGCCGGGGCTGTTGCAGTCGCCCGCAGCAACCACACGCGAGGACAAGACCCAGTTTCACTTGCCCCTAAAGCAAGGCACTGATTCCACAGTGCCTGCCCTCCAGCCTGGAGCCATCAAGTCATTCCCTGTGATTTCATGTTCGTGCTGAGCCTGGACTTCAGATCAGGCCCAGGGTGGTGACGGGGATTCACGATATCATTCCTGAACACTGTTCTGAAATTCCTGTTTCAAAACATCAACGGCCTTTACTGACAAGCTGTGAAGAACAGATAAACTCCACACCCCTGTTATTGTGGGTCCTTGGCAGAGCATCCATAGATGTTGGATCAGAGAATAAACTGTAGGTACGGGGTCTCCCGTGTGCAAACCAAATCCTTGCACTGGCAGAGACGTGCCCCTGGTCTGCAGGATCTGTGAAGACCCAGAAATCAGTGGCAGTTAATTGTTCTTTTTACCCCCAATTCACTGTGGATTCTGAAATCCCTGCCACCAGCCCCTCTCATTTACATTTCTGAACACAACTGAACAACACAACACAACAGCTTTCACTTTTGTCTGTAAGCCCAGCTGCTTCCAGTGGAAATATCAAGAAGCTTTCATTCATACGCTTTCCTAAGGAAAACCAGAGACAACTTGAACGTAAGTAAAATGTTAAATTCCTGTTATAACACTGGTGATTTGTGTTATTGGATCATGTGGCTTTTCTTCTCAGTAGCTGGAGACACCAGCCCACACAGCAGCGACAGACAGTGCTGCATCCCAGCCCACATGTGAATAACCATGTCTGCCAAGAGTCATTCTTTTGAAGGACAAAGTATTATGACATAAAAAGCAACTGCTTTTTTAAAAAAATGTTTCTCTCCCCCAAGTGAGTAAAGTACATTAAAGAAAATATAACAAATCTAATATATTCATTACCTGGATTCTAACAGTTGTTAAAATGATCCTATTTTTCTTACTTATATGCAAGTGTTCACTCACTCACCTGAACCATTTTAGAGTAAAATTACAGCCAATATAACCCTTTCCTCCTAAATACTTCAGCATGATGACACCCAAGTGGACCTTCTCCTACATGACTCATTACCACCATCACACAGTGGTTGTAGCAACAGTTCCCAAATACCATCTACCACTCAGTTCATATTCAAATTTCCTGGCCTGTCCCTCAAATGTCTTTCATCGTTTTTTTATTCAAAGCAGGATTTGATAAAGGACCAGAAAGGAGTACCTTTTCCAAACTAACTTGTTGACTGATAGAAACTTAGAGGGGGAATGGTAAGTTAGCATCCCACCGACTTTTTTCAAGAAGGAAAAAAAAAAAATTGCCCATAACCTGACCACAAAAGACAACTATTACTGACAGTTCCATGTGTTTTCTCCCAGTTTATTTTTTCTGCTCATGAACACACACCTGTGGTCAAACTGTCTTGCTACAGGTCAGGTGCTACCTCCCTCCTTTTTTAGCAAGTGGAGGTAAGAGAGTCCATACCTGATGGAGCCCTGTGGGCACTACCTTTGGTATTTTGGTGCCTGCTGGGTCTGCGAACTGCTGGTCTGCTATGTTAATAACAGTGAAAAAGGGCAGCAAGTGCCCTGGGACCCTGCTCACGGGTCCTCCAGCTCCAGGCACACCACAGCACACTGCTGTGTGGTCCCTCTGGCTTCTTCCTTCTCAGAGTTAACATCAATACAAGCCTGAGTGACACGGGGGTAATGGTAATAGGTGCTTCTATCCTGTATCGTGGACATCGAGGATAGACAAATACAAGGTGTCCTTTTTTTTTTTTTTAAATAGGAGGTACTTTGAACTCTTTGGAAGGAGGTGCTACATAGTTAAAAGCTATTATTAACATTCTCTAAACCAAACTGTCACTAAAAATGCAAACTCCTGGGTATCAAAATTTTTCTTTGGGACATTTTTTAAAGCTGAAAAATTTCAACCAGCGACATGTGCTGCATTAAATAAAAATATCTCAACGTGAACTAAGTTCTCAGCCAAGTCAGGCCATCACAGAGCTGCAAATCATTTCACTCCTTAGCAGAACTGTCCATTTTCTTTAAACTACGCTGAGCTGGAAGCAGGGTCTGATCTGAAGGTGCCCCCCCCCACCAAGCAGGCTCAGGTCTGGTTTATACCGAAGTACCCTCACAGAAGGCGGCCGGACCCTTCTTCCAGGACAGAGCACAGGGTCTTCTTACCTTGCTTCCAGGGACACAGGTGGCTTCGTCTCAGGGGCTTCTGTTTTTCAATAGCATTGCCCATTCTAAATAAAGCCAGAGGATCACAGAGCCCTTCCAAGTCCAAGTGTCTTTGCTGAAGAGCAAACGTGGACCAAGTCACCAGCTGGACGGGGATTCATCTCTCAGACATCCCCATCACCCAGCGGCGAGCCCGTGCAAGAAAAACTTGAACTCTGCTCTGAAAGGTCTTTGCCTCCTGCCTCTCAAACTCTCTTCACTTCCAGGGAGGAAATCAGAATACAAGGCTTGTTACCGCCCTGGCGGTGGGTCTCCAGACCCGTCTATTCTAGGAGCTCCTCCTCGGCCTTCCTGACACTCCAATACTCATCGGCACAGCAGCAGCCTCGGAGACTGAACTTCATTTCCAAACTCCATCATCGCTGCTTTTCCTTGGGGGAGGAGTGGGAAATCACATGATCAAGAAGCTGAAAGCTAAAAATAGACCAGTTTGGGGGTGTGCCACAAGAAACACTGTCACAGAGACCCCAGGGTCACACCTTCTTTTTAAGGTTCTAGCCCTTAGACCAGTTTGCATCAGAGGACAAGTTCCATTGGCGAAAACAAACTAACTTCATTATGACTGTGTTTCCAAGGGGAAAAGTAAGCAAACATCAAAATGCAAGCTGCACTTCAATTTCCAAAGAAGAGCTCGGAGGACAAACAGGAGTTTGCAACCTCGTCCACTCTACATTGGAATTAACCTTTCTGGAGAAAACGCTGCACCACCTAACTCTGAACAACAGATTTCCTGGAAGAAAGGGTTTGAAATCATACACTTTTTTGTGGGGGAAAAAATTAAAGAAAAAAAAAAATGTCAAGGTACACAGAAAGATTTCACTGAGATCCCAGAGCCTGAGGGTAGAAAAGCTCTTCAGGAATCTCTGGAGTGGGGAGACTGACTGAGGCCCCACGCCAGGGGCCAGATTCTGCCCTGCCCACCGAGCACAGCAGTCGGTTTCCTCATCCGTTAGCTGCGCAGAATGCCACAGTCCCACCTCCTCGGCTGTGATGAGGACCAAATCAGACAGGCACTTAGGAGTCCCCTTGGGAAATCATTACCACCATCAGGTCACACAGTTTGACTGTGAAACCACAGTAGGTTGGAAGGCAGATATCTGGCTCCAGCCAATTTGGCCAAAGGCACGCAATCAAAGGGACTGGAGGGTAGGATTGGGGAGCCAGAGTAAAATTTAAAGACAAAAAAAGGCCCACGGAGCCAAAGAGACGGCATCTAAGTGGCACTCGGTGCGCTAGGGCTTCCATGCTCAGCATGCTGCACCACTGCCGGGGCCATGACCAGGGCTCCACGCCGGCCACAGCCTCTTCCGAGGGAGCGAGAGAGAATCCTGCCGGCGTACGCAGGACCAAAGAAGCCAAATCCAGATCGCTACAGGAGCCTGAGGTTCCGATTCCCATCTACCAAGAATGAAGTCATTTCCACATGATCATGGCTCTAGAGTCCAGACTTCTCAAAGCCAACAGCACATGTCCATTCCACCCTCGCAGGGACCGGGCGGGAAGGAGAGTGGGCGCTTCAGGGCCGGCACTGCCACTCGCCAACCTCACACTGCACACGGAGCACTCCTTCCAGTCAAACCACAACCACGAACCAGGAGAGTGCAGACCCGAGCCCCAGCTGCCCGGAGGGCCACGACACCCGGACGCGACTCAAACACCCACAGCATACCCAGCCCCCGTGGTCATCAGTGACTGCCCCACCCTTCTGACACATTCTGAAGGACCCTCAGTTTCCTTCCCCAAACCGTAATAACTGTCCTTAGGCCAGTGTTCAGTGCCAGATATGTCCGACCTCATTTCTTCCACAAGACATTTAGTTCAATTTATCTATAGAAGCACAATAGATCAAAGACGTTCTACTTCCGAACCCACATCCTAATGTCTCTTTTCACCTAAAGAAAGTTTTAACGTATCAGATGCTCTGCACACAGTGCTGCCCAGCACCAGCGAGTACCTGGACACGGGAGATGCCTGATGACCGATGAACAGACAGGCAGACAGGAGGGCTAAACAAATGCAGCCTTCTCCCCCGCCCCAACAAATACATCCTACACTGGGTTAGCCAGAGCTTCTAATCCACAAACAAACTCTCCTTCCGGCAAGAGCCAGGGCGCGGGCCTACCAGAGTACAGTTCCATCTGCCTTCACCACGCCTCAGCTCAGGCCAAGTCCTCGACGGGGAGTGTCACTCACATCTTTTTCATCCCCGTTAGACTGGAGAGCCCCTGACGTCAGGACCTGACTGGGTCTAGGTCAGTTCCCCACGAGCCGGTGTGCGCCCAGGACAGCAGGTCACCGGTGGAAGCTGGGCTCGAGGCCGACTCTGCCACGTCTGAGCTAGGGGCTGGCGCGTTCAAACCGTGAGGAAAAGACCCCCAGCTCCAGACAGCTGAGTTACTGCCGAACCTTCCAAAGCACCTGCAGATGTCCTTGAGAGCAGCTCTGAAGGGAGGACCCTGTGGGTCAGCTGCGTCTCAGGTAACCGCGGCCTCCCAAAAGGATTCCCTGTGAACTGCAAGGGGGCTGGGGACAGGGAAAGATGAATCCGACAGCCTTTTCTTAGAAAGCATCTCCAGGACTTGTCCCAGGAAGGGCAAGCGACCCTCTAACCCACACCTCAGGGGGCCAGGGGGCTCTAGAAGGGAAGCGCCGCCCGAATGGCGAGCGCACGGCCAGCCTCCCGGCCTCCCTGTCCTGCACCAGCGCCCTGAGGACGCTGCGGAGGTGAGGCTGCCGTCAGAGGCTCCAGGTGACTCCCTGAAGCATGACTACCGCAAGCCCCAAGTTGCCGACAAAACCCTCTCCTCCTGAGAGCTTGCGGGGGGCGGGGCGGGGGGGGCAGAGGGGGGTCAAGGCACTGCCCTCAGAGACACAGCCAGATCCAGACCCCAGAATCTTCACTTTTGGCCAGCAACCTGCCACCTCTCTGTCCTGACCATAGCGGGGAGGCAGGGAAGGAGCAGGAAACACTGGCTTTGGAGGAGAGCTGGCCCAATCTGGATCTCTAGCTGGGCACCTCCCAGCTGGGTGACTTTGAGACGGGAGCTTGACCTCCCTGGACCTGATTTCTTCATATGGAAAATATGCACTAGCAGACTGCCTACTTCACAGGGCAGTCTAAAGCTTCAACATAGTATTCTAAAGGTGCCTGGCACACTTAAATAGTTACTGGGTTTAATATTCTTTTATTATCTATGAATATCCAACTTTAGAGACAATACATTAAAGAAAAATTATTTGCCATTATGAGGGATATTTTCCTTCTGTATCAATAAGATTCGCTGCAACATTCTGGTAAACAACCTACTCCCTTAGCGCAAATAGAGTTTCACTTACAAACATTTGTATCATCAGAATAATGCAGGCAACATAAGCTGGGGAGGTAGCATTGCCTTTGTTGACGTCTGAAGTGTTTTACACTCGTCTCCTCAATGCGGGGATTCCCTGGTGACTCAGTGGTAAAGAACCCGTCTGCCAAGCAGGAAGCATGGCTTCGATCCCTGGGTTGAGAAGATACCCTGGAGAAGGGAATGGCAACCAGCTCCAGTATTCTTGTCTGGGAAACCACATGGACAGAGAAGCCTGGCCACAGCCCATGGGGTGGCAAAAAGAGCTGGACGTGACTTAGGGACCAAACAACAATAACAACATCCTCGAGGCAAGGTGCAACTGGAATCAGAAGAAACCTGCGTCAGGGAGTCCTGCACGGCACCGCCCACTGCTCAAGAGAGAGAGGCCTGCCACGGCTGTCATGCACAACCCCCACGCCACGGGCAGGAGGAGGAAGCCGGGCTCGCCAGCGGGCGCCCAGAAGCTGACGTGTAGCTTTGTGCATGGAATTTGTCTGCTGGGAGGAAAGGCTGACGTTGGTTACTTCCCCTCCAGAGGAAAACACAACAATACAAGGAAGCACCGAGCGCTGTGGGAATGTTCCAAAGTGGGAGCTGCGGCTCCGTTCAGAGCGCGGACAGAGGGGAGGCCAGCCTGGAGGTCAGGCCGGCGGAGCGCCAAGGCAGAGTCTGGGAGCCAGTCTTCTGGGTGCCCTCGCCCCTGCTTTGAAGTGATGTCTCTGCCCAGCGCCACGGAAACCACTGATGGCGAAGGCGCGTCTCCATCAGTGCGTCATCGGAAACGCAGACCGGAGCTCTCTTACAACACACACATGCACACTCACAGGTCGGTCTCAGACTGTTACGGCCTGAGTGGCCTGAGACTCACCCCACAAATGGGGAGGCTCAGACAAGGCAAGTAAAGAATCACCTAGTTACCACGGTAAGCAGCACTGAGACACTCAGGGCAGGGGAAGCAAGTCTAGCAGGGCCACCTAATCTAATCTGGGCAGTCAGGGAAGGGTGAGACTGGGAGGAGGAGCTGCCCAAGCACACGGGGAAGCACGTCCTGGGCTGGAACAGCATGTGCAAAGGCCCTGTGCAGCTGGAGGTGTGCAAACTGGGGAGGTGGGTGGGTGTCAGCTGGGGCAGAGCCTTCAAGGTCCAGGGTTTCATCTCACAGGCTTCAGGGGGTGTCCAAAGTGTTGACCAACGCAGTGCATTCATTTTCCTGGGAAGAGAAGTCCTTGGCATTCATTAAAGTCTCAAAGACTTCCAAAAGGTTGAAATCCACAGAGCTACTCCAATGCTCTCATTCCAAAACAAGAAAACTCAGGTCCTCATTTTGAGGGAAAGACATCTTCCCAAGGGTTCACAGACAACCCTCATCACTGGACCTCAGGCTGGTGTTTTTCCACAGTTAGCCAGCTGCCTTACTCCGGGAGGGGCATGTCAACAACAGCAAAGTGCTAATCCTCACTGAACACGATACTGCATCCCACACAAGACGGCTTTGTTTCTGTCCAGGCAGGCCCAGAAGTAACACTCGACAGAATGAACTGTGAAGTCCTCCAGTCCATCTTTCTTGGGGTCTGACCTAACCTGCAAAATACTGGGGGCAGAACCTCCAGTTCCAAGGCAGCCCCACAATAAAGCTCCTGGGTTTTGCAGACCCTGACAGGTGGTGCTGGCTCACGAGGGAAGGGCAGTAGGGGCAGAGTCTCCCTCCGCAGCATCTAGCCCTTTAAGGAAGCTGCTGCTTGCTCGCTGTTCTTTCTGAAGTCATGACGAACCAGGAATGAGCCTGGAGGACATGGAAGGGAGGAAGCCCACGCCCTCAACTTTATCAAATCCACCTGGAACTGAGAGAAATAAACTATTTTTTTAAGTGAACAAAAACAGTAATTTTCTCCTTGTGACTTATTTCACAATTACATGGACTACTCAAGGGAAAATCTAAGTATGTGTGGAGAACACCTCCTGAGCTTTGATGCTTCCTGGAAGACCCAAAAGAGGAAGTCACCTCCCGGAGTGACAGGCACTTGAAGCCTTTCGGAGTCCAGGCCCCCAGCTTCCTCTCCCACATCCCCTCTCAGGAGCCTCTTCTTTAGCCGCAGACTCAGTGCCCAGTGAGAACCTGCTTCTGGGAGCCTGCCTGCGCTGAGGCCCACCTCCTTCCTCTGCAGTAAAGCAGAGGAGACCGAATGGTCAACATCTGGCAGACTGTCACCGGCATCCATCAAGGGGACCCACAGTCTCTGCTGCAGCTGGAATGTGACAGGGTCAGAGAGGCACGCCCTCACTGGGGAAAGGCTCCCATCACCTTCCTCCCACCCGCGAAGCCCCCAGGATCTGTGGGCTCCTGCCCTGCACAGCGGCCCACTGGGAGATGTCACCCATCGTGGGCAGGCAGACTCAGCACGGGCGGGGCTGGCGGGAGCCACGGCAGCGGCCTCCAAGAGAGGGCCCTCCTGGGTTTAGAGAGGCGCAGCCTTCCCCACTGAGGCGGAAGCCACGCCCAGCAGGCGCTTCGGCCAACTCTGAGCGTCCTGGTGCCTCCTGAGCGCGGGGGACACAGCAGCCGACAGGAGTCCTGACAAGCGGGAAGAGCACACGGAGAAGCAGCGAAGGAACCTCACGTTAGACAGCAGAACAGAGACAGGCCCCGGGGACCTGGGAGC